GAAAACTGTTAGGCCATTAAATGCTAATCAAGGTGGCCAATTGCTACATTCACACTTGCCTCAAACAGACAAGAGTTCTTTCTCCCACCCTGGACATTCCACAGATATATAAGCCCCGTTTTCCTAGTTTCCAACAGACTTCACAACCTCTGAGGATGCCTGCCATAGATGCAAGCAAAACATCAGGAGAGAATGCTTCTGGAACATGGCCATACAGCCCGGAAAACACACAACAACCCAATTAAACATAGTTTTTGGCAGTCACAAAAACAACATTTCTGGAGTATAACAACTACTTCCAAAGTAAGTACTGCACAATTAAACAGGAAATAACACTTTCAAACAAGGAACATTTTTTCTTTCAAATTTTGTTACATGGTGTTTGGGAGATTTCGAATTAAAATCTGAGAAAAATAGCTGTCACCCTTTCAACCAGTTGAAGCTTCCAGAATTGCAATAGCCTGGAGGGCGCATAGTGCGACTGAGGATATTTCATTTTCTCTAGAAAAGACTAAAAGTTGGTAAAGTGACTAATGCTGGTTAAAAAAGCTCCTGTCTTTTGCTGTAATTTACACATTCAGGGAAAAGAATCTATCCAGCAACACTTTCAAGTGACCAAACTGCTCTCTTGGGGAATGTATCCTATCTAAAATAGATTGAACTTCATATACGAACATCTGTCTTGTCTAAACAGGATTTAAACTTGCTAGCCCCCATCATCTTGTACTGACTATAGACATAGCTTTATAACTTGTACTGCTTTCCTAGTATTTGGATAGTAGAAACCAGAAGTATTTCACTTGCATTCGAATGACCCTTTCGCCTAAGTTTTTTTTTTTGTATTTTCTTAACAGTTCAATTCAATTTTATAGTAAAGAGGAGAGATGAGATGTAACCTTGAAGTATTTCACAAGGCAGCAGACATGGGCAGAACAGCTGTCTGTCACCACCTTCTGAGAACAACCATCTAGATAGGAAGAAAGTCACTAAAGAGTGATGTCATATAACACAGGGTTAGAGGAATTTTGAACGTCACAGGTTTTGTACTATAGTTACCATAATATTTTACATTTGACTATGTTTGAGACGACTTCTTAGAGTTACATTCAAAGCTATTTGAGAGTGAATGTGTCCATACCTGTGACAAAATGCCCTCTGCATTCACTGGGAGCCCTTCCACACAGCCATATAACCCAGAATATCAAGGCAAAATATCTGGAATATATGGCAGCATGGACTCAGATAACTCAGTTCAAAGCAGATATTGTGGGATTTCCTGCCTTGATAATCTGAGTTATATGGCTCTGTGGAAGGGCCCTGGGACTGGGGACACAGGACCTCCATGAAAGTAAAACACTTAAAATAAAAATGTTGCTATTTTGGTTGTTTCTTATCTATTGGTATTATATAAATCTTAATAAACACAAAAAACCAACTTTTTAAATGTGAGAGAACAGTTTTCTGTGATTTATAGATGCTGGAAGCTGATTATCAAATTGCATTGGAGGGCCATTCCTAGGGCCCTTCCACACAGCCCTGTAGTAATTCTGTAGAATTACTGACAGCGGGTTCATTGCAATGATGAACATTATTATTATTATTATTATTATTATTATTATTATTATTATTTGTCGTGTCAGGAGTGACTGCAAGTTGCTCCTGGTGTGAGAGAATTGGCCGTCTGCAAGGACGTTGCCCAGGGGACACCTGGATGATTTGATGTTTTTATCATCCTTGTGGGAGGCTTCTCTCATGTCCCTGCATGAGGAGCTGGAGCTGATAGAGGGAGCTCATCGCCTCTCCCCGGATTCGAACCTGCGACCTGTTGGTCTTCAGTCCTGCCGGCACAGGGGTTTAACCCACTGCGCCACTGGGAGCTCCATTATTATTATTATTATTATTATTATTATTATTGTTATTATTATTATTATTTGAAACAAGCTGAGTCCACAGCAGACAAGATCACTCTGCTGGCTGTTGAATTGGGTCACACGTGTCCAAGTGTCTAGGACTGTGTGATGTATCGGCGAATGATGCGTGCAGATCCCAGTAAGGTGGCCTTCTGCAGCTGGCAGATGGTAATTTTGTCAGTGCCGATTGTGTTTAAGTGCAGGCCAAGGTCTTTAGGCACTGCACCCAGTGTGCCGATCACCACTGGGACCACCTTGACTGGCTTGTGCCAGTCTTTGCAGTTCAGATCTTTAAATCCTCATATCGTGTCAGCTTTTCCAGTTGTTTCTCTTCAATCCTGCTGTCACCTGGGATTGCAACATCGACAATCCATACTTTGTTTTTTAACACAATCGTGAGGTCAGGAGTATTATTATTATTATTATTTTACTGACACAAAAGCACAGTATGTCACAGCAAACAAGATCTATATGCTGGATTTCATATCAAAAAATCACAAGTCGAACACTTCCCAAGCGTTTAGGACTGTGTGATGTATTTTCAAATTATGCGTGCAGATCTAAGTAAGTGGCCTTTTGCAGTTGATAGATCGCGATTTTGTCCATGTTTATTGTTACCAAATTGTTTGGCACGGCACCCAGTGTGCTGATGACCACTGGGACCACCTGTACTCAGGCATGTAGCCGGGGGGGGGGGGGGGGCTCGGGGGGCTTCAGCCCCCCCCGAAATTTTCATGGTGGTTCGCGAAAAGGCCTTATTGGTGCATTATTTAAACTGTTATGTTTATTCATATCATGATCTGATCACCATACTCAATATATCCCATATGCATGGGGGTATTGGGGTAATGATACAAAAGGTTTGCTAGGCTAGACCCTCTTTCACTCAGACTCAGAGCCCCCCCCCGAAACTCAGCCCCCCCCCGAAACCCCCCCTGAAAAAAAATTCACCCCTCCCCCCCGAAATGAAATCCTGGCTACGGGCCTGCCTGTACTGGTTTATGCCAGAGCCTTTGCAGTTCAATTTTGAGGTCCTTATAACAGCCAAGTTTTTCAGGTTGTTTTTCCTCAGTGCAGCTGTCATCCGCTATGGCGACATCAATAATCCAAACTTTTTTCTTTTCCACAATCGTGATGTCTGGTGTATTGTGTACAATAAACCAAAAAAAAATTTTTTTTCCACAATCGTGATGTCTGGTGTATTGTGTTCCAAAACTTTGTCAGTCTGGATTCGAAAGTCCCACAGTATTTGTGTGTGTTCATTTTCCACTACTTTTGCAGGTTTATGATCCCACCAGCTCTTTACTACTGGCAGGTGGTACTTGTGACATAAGTTCCAATGAATCATTTGGGCCAGAGTTGTGCCTCTGTTTGTAGTCCATCTGTGCGATTTTCTTGCAACAGCTGAGGACATGATCAATGGTTTCATCCGCTTCATAGCACAGTCTGCATTTTGGGTCATCAGCTGATTTTTCAATCCTGGCCTTAATGGCATTTTAGAGTTTTTTAATACTGGTAGCCAGATTTTGTTCATTTTCATGGTCTCTTCCTTTCTGTTGAAATTGTCTAAAATTACAACAGCAAAACAGCAGAGAGGAAACAACCAGGCACATCTTAACACCTCTCAACAGAACATTTTCCCAGGCTCAGCCAGGCCTTCAAATGCTAATGAAGGTGGTCAGCTGAAACATTCACACCTAGCTTCAGCAGAGAGCTCTTTGCCCCACCCCAGTCATTCCACAGATATATAAACCCATTTTCCTATTACCAACAGACCTCACTACCTCTGAGGATGCTTGCCATAGATGCAGGCGAAACGTCAGGAGAAATGCCTCTAGAACATGGCCCTATAGCCCGAAAAAAACCTACAAGAACATAATAATTAAGATGAGTCCACAGCAGACAAGATCACTCTGCTGACTGTTGTATTGGATTATTATTATTATTATTAAACTCTATTTGTACCCCGCTAGCATCTCCCGAAGGACTCGATGCGGCTTACAAAGGCTAAGGCCTCAACACAACAACAGCATAACAAACAACAATACAAACAAAAATGCAATTGGCTGTTGTATTGGATCACAGGTCGGACACTTCCCAAGTGTCTAGGACTATTATTATTATTATTATTATTGTTGTTGTTGTTGTTGTTGTTGTAGATGGGGCCCTGCAAACCCCCTCTTCTTCGCCTCTGAGGATGAGCAGAGAAAATGGGGTTCTCTAATTCTAAGTGTGGGGGAAATGTGTTGCTGTGTGTGTTCCGGAGAAACTGGTCTACACAGGAAGAACAGGGCGTTCTTGCCGCCTGGACACACTCTGGTTTCCTGGTGATCGCGGAAGAGAGGGCGACTCTCTGCTTCGTGTTGAGTGCCAGGCACTGGCAGGTGTGGTGGGGCGGCCTTGGGCGGCGTCACACACTCTCGGCCTCAGTCGGGACTGACCCGAGGGCCAAGCATGGAGGCCGGGACACCTTGGGCTGCCAGGCCGCCTTCTGTTATCCCAGAAGGGACAGGCATGGCAGGGAAAGCAGGGCGAGAATGGCGTAAGATGGGAAGGAGGCCTTTGCCCGCCGCCCTCAGGCAGCGCCGTGATTTATTATTCTCACGATGGCCAGTGTATAGGCAGAGCACACAATCTGGATAATATCCCTACGTGTGTGTATATATCTAGAGCTATACGGGGCCTTGCTCTCTCTCTCTCTGCGGTCCCTGCGGCGGGGCCTCCTCCCAGCCTGCCTCACTCTCCTCCTTCCCTCCCCCCTCCCTCCTTTTACAACAGGCCTATCCTTAAAATCTCAACCTGGCGGCTGATTTTGGCCGACGGAAAAAAAGGCGGAGGGAGAGAGAAGGGGAAGAGGTGTGCGCGTGCGCGCGCCCTCCCCTTTAAATGGCCGAGCAGGGTTTTGTTTTTTTTTGCGGAAGGGGGAGCGCGCGAGCGGAGTGGCCTAAACCCTCGCCTCGTGACCACAGCCGGCTCGGGCTCGAGCTCGGGCCCCGCCCCGCGCGCGTTCCATTGTGTGCGCGAGCCTGCGTGCCGTCCCCGCCCCTTTTGCCCCCTCCCTTCCTTCCCTCCCCTTTGGCCACGCCCCCCCTTTCCCCCCTCTTGGCTCATTTCCGGCCGCGGCTGCTTGGCTTCCCTCGGAGGAATCGGGAGAGAGAGAGAGAGAGAGTGAAGAAACAACAGCCGCCATTTTGTTTGTGTGTGTGAGAAGAGAGAAGAGAGCGCGACTGGCTCCAGGGAAGAGAGGGAAGAGAGAGGACGGAGAAAGAGAGACAGAGACAGAGAGAGAAGGGGGACCGGGGAGAGAAGGAAGGGAAAGAAAGGAGGAAGGAAGGCAACGACGGCTGAGAGAGATCCGGGCACTCCTCGGTTCAGGGAAGAGCCGAGGCCAGCCGAGAGCGTCGCCGACCCGTCTCGCTCCCGGCCTGGGCTTGGGACCCCACCCACAGCGCCGAGGGAGCAGGGCTTGGGGCCTGTGGCCTGGCTCTGCGCCTCCTCCATTCCCTCCCTCCATGGCGGGCAGGAGACGGAGCCCTCCGAGTAGCAGCAGAAACGCCTGAGGCACCACCACCACCGCCGCCTCGGCTCCGGAGCCCCGTCTCCCTCCGCCTCCTCCTGGCTCTCCATTAGTCAGTCGCCCTCCTTCTTTCCGGGGAGGGGAAAAGAGGCAGCGGGAGAGAGAGCGAGAGAGGGAGGGGGAGGGGCCGTCCTAGCTTCCTCCTCCTCCTCTGGGATCGATCCCTCCGCCTGACCAGAAGGGGGGTACCCTGCCACAGAGAGAGAGAGAAAGGAAGGAAGGAAAGGTAGAGGAGGAAGAGAAGAGGAAGAAGAGCCCTCCTCCCTCTCTCCTTCCCTCCCTCCATCGGGACAACAACCCCCTCCTCCTTGTTCCTGCACAACAAGATGTGAAGCGGGGACTCCTGGGACTTCTCTGCTGCTGCTTCTTCATCCTCCTTTCCTGCAGCCATTGGTAGTGACTGACTGGCCGGCCAGGGAGGCGGCGGTAGGGGGAGCCGGGGACCCCCTTTTCCTTCTCCTCCCTCTCCACCTGGGGGCCATCTCGTCGGCGGGGAAGCGGGGACGGTTCTCCTTCGCCTTTTTCTCCCCCCCGCTCCTCCTCCTTCGCCCGCCGCCTCCTTGTGGCGATGAGGAGGAGGAGGACGACGCCGAGGAGGAAGAGGTTGATGGCGGCAGAGAAGAGGCAGCAGGAGGAGGAGAAGAAGAAGGAGGAGGCGACCACGACGACGGCGTTGGCTTCCACGGCGACCCCCCGGAGGAGGATGGCGATGAAGATGGTGGCGTTGGCGGCCGCGAGGAAGCCCCAACAGCCCCGCAGCCGGATTTGAGCCGGCTTGGGGAACCCATCAAGTCTTGCTCCCTTGTTGTTACTCTTTTTGATCCTCTGTGGCATCCAGAGAAAAAAGACTGCTTCTGCTGCTGCTGCTTCTTCCACACCCTGTTTCTTCATCTCTGTTTTCTCCCCTCTTAGTCGCTGCTGCTACCCAACGGAGACAGATCCCGAGGGGCATTAAAAGAAAGAAAAAAGAGGAACTTTGTTCTTTTCTTCTTCTTCTTCTCGTATTTGTTGTTGTTCACTTGATTCCTGATCCGAGGAGGTGGCTTTTGCGGCACTGGAGATCGATCCCCGTCTTCAATTTGGGCTCTGTTTGTCTAAAAAAGAATTAAAAATGGCCGAGAATGTGGTGGAGTCGGGCCCGCCTTCAGCCAAGAGGCCTAAACTCTCCTCACCGGCTCTCTCTGTCTCTGCAAGCGATGGCACAGGTCAGTTTTGGGGAGAGATACCCCTCGTTTTCCTTCACTGCACTCTGGGAGCCTTCTCTTCCCTCTTGGGCTCCTTTTGCTCCCATGTAGTCTCTCCTCTTGCTCTTCTATGAATCCACTTTTACACTTGGATGCATTAATCAGTTGTGGGGTTTCAGTGCTGTTGCCTTTCATGTCGTTGAAGAGGCTGAAAGCCAGTCTATACTGGCTGGTTTACCTGTGTGGCCATTTGCTGTCTTGAAACCTCTGTTAACATTGTCTCTTAGTATTTGCACAATGCCTTGTACTACAGTATATACCTGGCATGGGCAAACTTTGGCCCTCTACTACACCCACACTATGATATATACCAGGCATGGGCAAACATTGGCCTGCCAGGTGTTTTGGACTTTAACTCCTACAATTCCTAACAGCAAATTGTGGGAGTTGAAGTCCAAAACATCTAGAGGGCCAAAGTTTGCCTATGCCTGGTATATATCATAGTGTGGATCTATACTGGCTGGTTTACCTGTTTGGCCATTTTTCTCTTTAGTATTTCTATAATGCCTTGTGCTACAGTATATATCAGGTATGTGCAAACTTTGGCCCTTCATGTGTTTTGGACTTCAACTCCTACAATTCCAGTAGGCTGTTAGGAATTGTGGGAGTTGATGTCCAAAACACCTGGAGGGCCAAAGTTTGCCCATGCCTGGTATATATCATAGTGTGGTTTACCTGTGTGGCCATTTGTTGTCTTAAAACCTCTGTTAACACTGTCTCTTAGTATTTGTACAATGCATTGTGCTAGAGTATATACCAGGCATGGGCAAACTTTGGCCCTCCAGGTGTTTTGGACATCAACTCCCACAATTGTGGGAATTGTAGGAATTGTGGGAGTTGATGTCCAAAACACCTGGAGGGTCAAAATTTGCCCATGCCTGGTATATATCATAGTGTGGATGTATGTTCAATTTCTCATGTAACAGGGCATTCAGTGCCAGCCTTCCTTACTCCTTAATGTTATCAATATTCTGATTTGAACCATTGCTTGTTTCGTTTCCACTAAATGGAATGTAGCCAATGTAGATGAATAGTGTTCATATTGGCATTTTTGTCAAAGCAGTTTCACCAGATTTGCATGGAAAACAACATGGATTCTCTTCTTAAACTACATGTTTGTTTCTTTGTGAGTCCAAAATGTTTGAAATTCCGATAGTCTTGCTACGTTTATGAGGACATGGACAAATCATCTAGCTGTCTTTCCTATATTTTAATGATGGGTTTATTGATGAGCCTGTGAGTTTGGATGGAAAGAACTGAAACTTGGAATTATAGTAGGGAACATAGAAGTGATAACCAAGGCTTACTGGTTCCCTTATAGGTTCAGGGAATGGTATCACTATGGAATGAAAGCGACTGCATAGGTAATTTGGATGTTGCTTTTCTGAAGAATGATCATCAACCCATGCCATAGTTTTAGGGCTCCCCCCCCCCCAAAAAAAGAGACTGTGGTTATTAATTAATCAGTCTTATTAATTGAACTTGTTGATTCTTCTGAGTATTTGAAAGTGGGGAAAATGGCTGATCTTGTGTAAAAGCCAAGAGAATATTTATATGTTTTTGTCTGAATCCTGCTTGGTTGTATTGGCATGATTTTGAATGTTTCTTGTATTAATTGTTTAGTGCTGGGTAGAGCTATCACTTGAACAGACATCTTTTTCTTTTCTTAACATCTTTTCCAGCAAAATTAGCATTTCAGAGGTAATATTTGGTGGCTTTGGTTGAGCTGTTTTGGGGATGCTAAATTTACCTGAAAATCAACAGGTTCCATATTACTAGTGGGAAAGTAGATTTGGAAGCCATCTTTAGAGTTGTTTCCAAAGGTAAATAATAAGAAAAAAACATACTGTAAAGGCAAGGCAGTATGTGTTTCTCTGAATTGTATTGCAGAGTAGTATTTTGATTTACATTGTATCACTTTCCCTTACAGTATAGATAGAAACAAAACATGCCACTGGTCTCTTAAGATTGCGGTTTGTGCATGCTTCCTTGGAAGCATTTCCAATGATATTTTTGAGCAGACGGAATAAAATTCCACTTCAAGTCAGTGCAAACCTATAAATGTTCACTTGCACATGGGTTTTGTTGCACTCCATGGGATTACTCACCAGTAATTATTCAGTATTGACATAGATGTATTCAGGTATGACACCTCCCCCCTCCCCCAATGATAACTTGAGGTAGCTTAGGCTCTTTTTAAGAAACAATGTCCTCTATATATTTAGAGAGAGAGAAAAAGCCACTCCTGTTTCAACCACTATGAGCATATCATAGTGGTTATTTGATTTGTTACCTGCATTCTTAAAGTAACTCTTGCTTTATAATTCTGATTTTTTTTAATTATTACACATTATAAAATAAAGTGGTGTCTTATTAGACTGAATATTCACTGAGGTACTAATTGCAAACTAAAGATGATGAAATATAATTTAGTTTTATTTAAGTGTTAGATATGTTTAACATCCTAGAGTATGAATCTTTGGGATTTACTTTCTAATAATTGTTGTCCTGGAGGCTGTATTTGTACAAACTATTGCATTTGGAAAGCAATGGCTCTGATTTACGGTGTTCAGAACATAGCTGTACAAAGAAATGCTAACATGTGCTATCGTAGTAAGCCTCATTTCAGAAACAAACTACTAGCCTCTTCCCCATTATGCTGCGTCACAGTGCTGCATCTTGTTCTAGCTATGTAGAAGCTGTAGCTGCTTCATTTCTCTTCTTGCTCTGTGCTTGCCTACAAGATATTAAATTTGAAGGCATATACAGTAGAAAACTCATGATAGCTTTGCCTTAGGGTCACCGTAAGTTGGAAAGAACACAACAGTTATGAACATTTAAAGTATATGCTAAATTCCATGAGGCCTATGGAAAAAGAGGAGGGAGGAATGCAAGGCTTTTGGTAAACTTACATTTGTATTTAGGGTCTTGGACTAGCACAAGAATAAATACGATAATTAGTAATATATTGCAGATTAAAGAAACTTATTTTAATAACGTAACTGTAACAAAGTTTATATTTGTATGAGCACAACAGAAAACACTAGAGCACAAGCTTGAGGTAAACAGAAAAACATTTAAACTGTGGTGCTTCCATAAAGTTAGTAGATTGTACTTAAAAACTTCAGTTCAGATATACATTATCTGTTTTCAGATTAGTTATGTCTCCTTTAGAAAGGAAGAAATTGGTGGTCTAATGTTGTACAGATGTTTTGGACTTCAACTCCCATAAATGCCAGCCATTATGACCAGCCAGTATGTAGGAAATAAAATCTGAAACATTTGGGGGACACCAGCTTGCCTATTTCTGAAAAATGGGAAGGGGGCTCAAAATGTATGCATTCAGATTTTGCTCTGCAGCCCTCCTCATCCCAAAGCAGTAAAGCTTCTGGCTGAGGAATGCTGGGAGTTGCACTCCAATGACATCAGGTGGGCTGCATGTTGCCAGCCTGTCATATATAAACATGCAAGTTTACAATTCATTGTATTTCCACAATTAAGATATATGAAGAACTCTTTAAGTAAAAAACTAGACCCTCATCCAAATACATAAATATATTAATATATATTTCAGTCAATGATAAGCAAAGTAGATAAGAGGCATATATTGAATTGAAAATCTATTTCTGATGGTAGGAGTGTGATTGATTCCCAATCTGATGCTAGTATGCTAACACATTATTTGTTTCTGTTAATTTGTTCCTGTTTGTTATTACAGAATGATTTCTAAGTGTAGCATACGCTCAGAACCTCTTTGGAATGACACACAAATTTGGTTTCTATAGTTCAAAAACTTAAAAAGTTGTATGAGACATGTCTGAAGTCTTGTAGAAGCCCCATTGGGTATGATTCTGTCCTCTTTCCCTCTCCAGATGCTTTTTAAAAAGTTATTTTAGTATCAAATGAGTTTATAGCACATAGAAAAGAACTCTTGTTTTTTTTTAATCAAACCTAAGGTTGATTTAGATACAAGTTGTTTGACTATTTGAATCTTAAGTGATGGGTCTGATTAGTTATAATGTGCACTTGATCACATTGCAATACATTGCCTGTGCTTATTTATATAGAGCAGATTACAGCTATCATTTTCATCTTGAAAATATCTGCTTTCTATCTGTTGATACTAGCTAATGAAAGTAAAACATGCTTCCTCAATACCATATTAACTGATAACAGAATAACATCTTGAACAGAACATAGTCCAGTGACTATCACATCGTCACCTGTTTTCTCATATATGATTTTTAACATCTTTGCCTTATGAAGAAGCCAGTGAAGCTCTGAAAGATTACATGATTCATTTTATGCTTTGGAATTGACTGAAGATATAACTGGTTTCTGTATTTTGTTGTATTTTGCTGCATGGCCATCACAGCTACTACTCCATATACTCCATTCCAAACCATTGAATTACTGTGATATGCTTTATTCAATACTTATTGCACTCCATGAGTGTTCAGTTATCTGTTATCAATATCAAATTGATCAGATCAATCATATTGCTCACTGTTTTGTCTTTGAAGTTGCTATAAGGCAGACATTTTTCTTTTAAGGTTTATATTTTTGCTTTTGTTGACTGACTTTTGTAGGAGTTTGTAGATAAGGATATACTTGGGGGTTTTTTAAAATGAGAAATGAGCATGTGGAGGAGGGGAACATCATACAGACAAGCACTTAATGCATGAATCAGTGCTCTAGTACAGTACAAGCCAATCAACATGACTCTAGTCCAGGGATCCTCAAACTTTTTAAACAGAGGGCTAGGTCACAGTCCTTCAAACTGTTGGAGGGCTGGATTATAATTTGAAAAAAATGAACAAATTCCTATGAACACTGCACATATATTATTTGTAGTGCAAAAAACACTTAAAAACAATACAATATATAAAATGAAGAACAATTTTAACAAATATAAACTTAATAGTATTTCAATGGGAAGTATGGGCCCACTTTTGGCTGAT